AAATCGGAAACTCTGCATTCCTCCGTCCAAACATACACAACTCGGGCGGATTCAAGAAAGGGGGAGGGATAAAGGAAGGGGTTCGATGTACCAGGTTCGTGATTTTAAGCCGGCGTGTCGTGAGAAGCGTCAAAAGTTATGTGCCTGTGCCTCCCCCCTTGCCCCCTTCTGTACCCCTTGATAATAACTTGCCAATGCACACTTCATAGCTTGGAAAATTAAACTGCCTTATTCTTTTCCGCTGTTAAGATTTATATATCTATGTGTTTTCTGGATTATATGTATTCATGTTTCAATTCAGCGTATTTTCACATCATATCATTCTCCGCTGCTCTTTTATTTTATTTTTCTTTTTTAATCTTCCAAGTGTCCTCTCAAAATCAAATCGTCAATCATCGCCAATCAATTATTTATTGCATTTATATCACTGATTGATTATTATACTGGTCAATGAATTATGAATGCCGTAGCAATAGTCCGAAGGTTCAATGTCCGAAGGTTCATTGGTCCGAATATTCACTATAGAACCTTCGGACCAATGAACCCTTGATTAAAAAATCGATGAAAATGTTACCACTTTTCGGACCAATGAACGTTCGGACCAATGAACCTTCGGACTATTGAGACGCCCTCATTATGAATATGCGTTGCTTCCAGAAAATGACATAAATAATTAATGACTTCTTTAAATTTACACCCACAAACTTGGTCAGCATTTTACATGTTGTCAATTTACTAGCTGATACCCGTCACATCAATAATTGAACCATGATTAGAGATTAGTATACACGATTTTTAGAATCTTTTTATATACTATATTCTAAATACTAACAAAAATTTAAAAAAAAAAAGAAAAGAAAAGAAAAGGACGCGGGACTGAGTGTAAATCGTACCTACTCCGCCGCGTTATTGACAGTAAAAATACCCGTCACATATGTCGAAGCTTTACGGAAATTGCTGAAGGAATATGCCTACAAAATATACTTTTAACAATTATAATCAAATTCAAACTACGATCACCATCTTCCCACTGGCCAAAGGTATTGCTAACACCTGTCAGTTGTCAACAGATCGTTGTAGTTTGGGAGAAAAAAACGTGAAACGGAGACTTCGGGTGATCTGCTATTATAATATAGATTATTCAGCTTCGAGGGGATGTATAATCTTTGACTTTACGTCTTCCTATTCAACATTTTTGCTCTTTCAATTGATTACAACCATACTGTGAGTTAAACAAATCACGCGAATTCGTGGAAAACACCTTTTAGCGTAGTTTCACTTGTGTTACCAAAGGTTTTTTTTTTAGTGAAGCGAATGAGTACTAGAAGGATATGTCATATGTAAGGCAGAGTGACTAAAAAAAAACTCTTAGTTTCGTCTCATTTTGGTTGTTCTGTCGTTTTTTATTTAGGGAGGAGGGGTACCTTTTAAACTACTGTTAGTGTTGAAAGATGGTAATAAATAGCTGTTGGATCAACAAATGGAATTTAAAATTGATCTGGATAATGTGTTGGCACAAGGCCCTGTGAGTGAATAAACGAGTGAAGTTGACACTAGACAGAGGGGGGGAAAGTGTCAAACGTGCAATCAAAATATATTTTATAATTTATTTCATTCCAGTAATCCGCGTTCCTTGTCTTAGTACACTTAGCACAAACATTTTTCTATTTTATTGGAATAAAACTGGCCTTATAAGTCGTCAAGATTTAGATTAACTTTACACTTGTAAGAAGAAAAGCGTTTGTGCTAGCTGAAGCGTGAAAAGGGTATACACGTCAATAAGCGTGAAATAATATTCTTTTCTCGTTGTGTAATTTTTACTTCATTGAATAGCAAGTTCGTTTTACTTGTCCAATATGGATTCTAATGTAATCCATCCTTCCATTTTCGTTATTCAAACTGGGGCCAGAACGGCGAGAAGTCATTGGTCAAAAGTTGGTCATATCCAAATATGGGACAAACCGACGTCACGGGCACCTTGATCTCATTCATGAGACCTGTCAAAATTTGATTGATTGACTTTCTTGCTTTGAATATGGGTCAAGCTATAGATGATATGCACAGAAGAATCCCACTGTACAGACTTTGTAGAAAGTCACAGGCATTAGCCACACTTAAAAATGTTTTTTACAAAATGATAAACTTGCCTAAAAAGGCACTGAAACACCGCCATCAGCATAAGCTTCTTTGCCGTCTAGCTCCGCCCCCTTATGACCCGTAAACAAAACTATCCAATCAGGGAGAAGTCTGCGAAATCAATAAACATTCTCTTATCGCTGCTGGATTTGTGAATCAAACCTGGGACGAAGGCTGCGGTGTAAACGTAAGTGTATTTAGCGTCAAGTTCTCGAGATTTTGTCGCACGAATTTTGAGAATATAGCTTGTTTAGTTGTGCTAGAAAGACTAAAGCCCTAAATTTTTGCTTGCAGAGTAGAGAAAGCTGGAGAGCGCTACAAATCCCGTTCGAAGACTGCAACAAGTGCCCGCGAGAGCGTAGCACGGTGCTGTCGCGAAATTGCGTCATATTATTTCTCCCGGAGAGCGAGATAGAGTTACACTACAGATAGCTGAGTTGCCAAAACGGTAAGAAAAATCTCCCAGCTTCATGTTGATGCACAATTTAGTGTGTTTCTAGTAGAATCAAACATGATTTGGACGCTTTATAACGTTGGGGTATATTTTCACATATTCAACATGGCGGATATTGTGGCTAGCAGAATTGCGATACAGCATCTCTGATTCAGGTCACGCATTTCACCTGAACCAAAATTGTTTCTCGTTTATAGGTCGTAAATCCAACCAAAATGGACCTTGAATTTTATGGAGATTATGGAGGTGAATCCAACGATTGTTTTTACCAAGACAGAAAGCCGAATATGAGCACAAAACCGAAGCGGATCAGCAAGGTGAGTCCTTTCTAGTCAGATTACGTGACCTAGTTTCGGTCTCGGGTTCATTCATACATTTTCATCATTGTTTCGGGTCATGCACCGTTTTCATTGAGAAGAAACGAGAATTGTTCATGTTTGGTTTGAGATGACGATCGCGCCGCAGACCCTTTCGTATGTCTCTTATATGTTTCTTGAGTGCCTTGCTCTCTTGGGGATTTTAGAAATAGACATCGAGGAAATACAGTCACCCTGCTTGGTTCATATTTTAAAAATAGATTTATCTTAGTTGCATTTGCTTTCGTTGTCTTTCTTTCTTTCTAAAGAAGAATGGTTTGTGACTATTAGTAACAGTGACAGAATTATCTGAGCTAGAATATGATATGTGTCTAAATGTTTAGTAAAAAATCTGTAAGGAAATAGGGTGAAGGGAATTTCAACAGTTTAGTAATTTTGAAACTATTTTATTAAGTTATGACGAAACAGACCCAGACATGGTAATTATATATAAGTAGTATTTTGTATATTAAAAAGATAAAAATGACTATTTTACGTCAGCAGTGTATTCACCTTCCTATGTAAAATCATAAATCACATATGTGACCTATCAGTCTCTTACCTTGGGTTATAATCAATCTTTGAAGATTGTCTTTGATAAGTCCATTTCATCTTCTTTGTGAAAAGCTTATTGTCTGTTTGTGTTACTTAACTTACTTTCTGTCTTAATAAAACTACAATTGATAATTGTGGATAAAGTTGTGTGGTTAAGGTTAAGGTTAAAGTTAATATATATATTTTGTGTAATTTAATGAGTGACTGGTCTTATGCTTTTAAAAAGGTACATAAGACAGGCATTTTTTTCTTGAAGGCATTGTTTGTATTATCATATTGTATTATCGCAATGGTAACAATTATGTGCCCAGGGTTATGGTCAAAAAGGACAGAAATTGGACATCTCTATCTTTATCTCACACTGACATTAGTGTCACTTATTAAAGTGAAGGCTAAATGGGATAGGTGCATCTTTGTCAATATTTACTTTTGATCTTTTATCTGGCAGTTAGCATAATGATTTGGTTATTATCGGAACATATGTTGGAAATGTGACAGTTATTCACCTTTAAACCATAGGGCATTTATGAATTCACAATTTTTCCTGGTGAAAATTAGAATCGAGCTTTCTACTCACAGGTATGGCCTATAGGAAAGATTGGCAGATTGAAAAACAACTATGAGCATGCTTGTTACATGCTCTTCCTAAGATGGCAGTGCTTTACAGTTGCATTTGATTCTGCTGGTCAACGTCATTCTGTGTGAATATATCTATATATAAATGTCACCAGGACCTGTGAACAAAGTGATATGTCACAGACGCATTATCAAAGACCTTCATATATGCGGGTGGCACCATTTAACTGATCTGGACTGTTTAGTCACTGAAGAGGCAATTAGTATGTGTCTATACATCTGTGAAACCCCCTCTCTCTCTCTCTCTCTCTCTCTCTCTCTCTCTCTCTCTCTCTCTCTCTCTCTCTCTCTCTCTCTGACTGTGTTCTCATAAACCAATCATACTAGCTGGATCAATTTAACTCTTTGGATCGTTTCACTAAAATGCTTTCAATGAAATTGGGTTAATTGGCTGGGATTCCCCCTTGAATAATTTATGGGAACACACTCTCTCTCTCTCTCTCTCTCTCTCTCTCTCTCTCTCTCTCAGCAAAGTGTTTTAAGACAGCCACAGACATCCAAAAGCCACTTGAAATGAAATATAAAATCAAGCTGGAATAATGAAATTACTTTTCTGTTTACCAGGTATAAAATGTAGTCTTCTTAGGTAAAGATAGAAAATTTTAATTTCAGTTGCCAGTTACATCTGGCTGTGAACCAATATAGTACAACGGGGGTGGGGGGGGGGGGGGTGAGGTGTCACATATGATAATGGAATACAAAGAAGCCATGTATGGGGTGATATATGTTGTTATAGAGAGCTGTTCTGTCACAGCTAAAGTCAGTCATAGACAGCAACAAGTACAGGTTCCAAATTAGAGCAACTGGTTATGTAGACTTCTGTGTAATACATGCCTGCATGAAAAGGGTGAAATGGGTAGTGGCAATGTACAGGTGAGTTCGGATCTTACTTTATATGGTAGACTGTACTGGAGTCTGTTTTTTAACCAGGAATGTGTGTATGAAAAAACATTACTAGTCTTAGGTTCAGGAAAATTTTTTCTTAGTCATGACGTTTCTTTACGTAGTTTCCTTCAGGAGGTGAAAATTTTTATTCACAGGTTTATTTAGTGATGCACACAAGTAAGAGTTGATAACTAATTATTTTGTAATAACACCCCCAGGCAGAAATCTGAAATCACCTTAACTCAGAACTCCTGCAAACAGCATTTTATTAATGATAACTAGTATTGCTGATTAGTGAGGTTAATGATAAACCATCAAAGACCAAGTTTCCTGTATTTTCAGGAAACTGAAATTTATATTTGGCAGTTTGAGGCCAAAAGGTATAAAAATTATTTCCTAGAAAGACTTCTTCATATAGGAAGATGTCAAGTCTTTCTGAGAAAATCCCACATCAAGAGCAGACTGAAAAGCTGGGAAGTAAGGATCTTAATGAATGTGCCCCAGCCAGAGTCGATCTGCATCATTTCACACAATTGTAAAGTGAGAAATTGTGCTAATCGAGAATCAGTAGCAGAAAGTAATTAGCATTAGTTGCAAGGTAAAAGATTGAAGTTGGGCTATTTGTTGGTAAGACATGTTGAGTTCAGGGACTTGTTTAACAAAAGAGCTTTAGGGTGAAAATTGGTCTTAATTTTAAGACCCAACTTGGAAGTTTGCAAATTTTACCCGATATAATTTGGCGGAGTAAAGTGTAATGAGAAATGGAGTCTGTTTGAAATCTAGGAAAACTTGGCTTTTTTGCACAGAACCTTTGGTTCATTTCATAAAATGGACTGGCATGGCAAGATTTGGAAGTGGCATTTCCAGACTGGTTGAATAGTGTTAACTCTGTATAACCCTTATCATTAACTGAGCATGTTTAGCTCAACACAAAAATTCAACTTTGTACAACTTAAAGCAGCAAAAGCAAGAAAAAGCCAAAACTTTACTGACATATTTGATATCTTTTTAAATTGGAAAAACTTCAGCCATTGCCACTAGATGTTTTAATTATTATTTGGTCATATTTTTTTGTCCTGTGGTTTTTGTGGTTGTGGCTATTTTTAAACACAAAGCCACAATCTTGGGTTGGGCTGTCTCGTCAAGGCACTGGTATATCTGTAATGAGCTAATTTTTGGGTTGGAGTGAATTTTCAATCGTAAGCTAAAATGTCTAAAGGGATCATGTTATTGCCTGGAAAATATGGTGGCTGGAGAAAAATTGCATGTTTACAAAAAAGAACCTGGGAAATGGTGTGTTTGCCTGGGTTGATAAGTGAAGAATATTAAAGACCGGATCATAATTGTAGTGGGGAATTTGATACTAATTTAAAAAAGAGAGAATTCTCCCTAATTTTCATCCTGTTTTTCTCATAGGTTGTAATGTCAATCGGCAGCCGTATCCTGTTGCTCCAAATTTTCAAGTATTATGTCATTTCTCACCACTGTTAGTAACTCAGACACATCCTGGAAAGTGGTAAATATTTGTGTTACTTTGAGACATTGCCTAGAAAGCCTGTTCTCGTTGAAAATTACCATGCCACTGCTCAAAATTTAATTTTCTTCCCTCTCAAGACTGGTCTGAAGACAAAGCCAGCAGGCTGCTACTTTTTATCTTAATTTGCTTGTCTAGCCAGTGTACTGGATCCGACTGGTTTTACCTTATGCTTGCTCTACTTAACACTGTGCTAGAAACATACAGTACAAAACAAAGTGGCGGAAAGGGAGATGGGATGTTTTACTAGGGATGGAGGCTGGGGGGGGGGCTGCCATCATCTACTGAGATAAATTTCCAATTCGAAAGTTTGATGAAGAATAATTGATACAAGTGACCTGTCATTAATATAAGAAGTGAGACTCAGTTAATGATGTTTGATTTAAAAAAAAGCTTAAATTACGCCGCTGAACCATAAGACCATAAGGTCAGATGAATTACAGGGGTTATCTGATCAAGGTAATTAGTTAATTGATGAGATAATTAGTAATATGAATATACACTGATCATTTGCATTTTATCATTGATCAGTATCATTCCAACACGTCATTATAGTCGGAAATGGCCTGTAGTCTTTCTTTGATAAGTTTACTGAAGGTAATGTGTTCTATATCTCAGCTTTGTAATTATTATTTCTTTAGTTTCTGTCCACATTTTGAATGTGGAATTAAAGAAACAGCTAAGAAATAGTCTTTCGTGCATTATTACCCTACATCTCAGTACAATAAGGCGATTTTTTAGATTACCGTAAGTCCAGTTTTGATGTATTACAAGGCCAATTTCCTAGAAATCCTGTACAAACCTAATGCAGTTAATTAATCTAGACACAGACCTTCATTAAAATCAAACATACAACAAGTGCATGAAGGTAAAGCTCTGAAGTTAGCAAATGAAATAATCTCAGATAGGTAAAGTGCCATTTTGAATATTTTCAACTCTGAGATGTGGAGCGTTTCGTTGTCTAGAAAGTAAAGGTCCTGTGCATGTCATTTTGACATTGTTAAAATGATGTTGCAACTGAAAATGACCGGATATGATACTCTGTCCTGTCCTAATGGTTTGTCCCATGATATTGTGTGATTTAGGTCGATGGGGTAAGAAAAGTGTGTCATTGTGTGGGCAGGGGCAGGAAAGGGCGTCAGGTTTGCAGTGTCTGTCAGGTGATGTAACATCTCTTTGATGTTAATTCGGCCACCCTTTCTCATGCTTCATTCAAGGATCTTGTAGCGAATACCGGTACATTAAATGGCGGTGCGACACTAACACATGAAATTTATATTCTTTTCTGGGTGTTCAAGGCCTAAACTTTGTAGCTGGGTATATTTTGAATGTCTGTCCATTTTTGACAGCT